TGCCTAATCTTGTACCTTGGGCAGATATGGGTTCTTAACTTTTTTGTGCTTCATGGACCCCTTTGGCAGTCTAGTGAAGCTTATGGACCCCTTCTCTCAATAATACTTTTAAATGCATAAAATGAAATATATAAGATCACATAAGAAATCAACTGAAACAAAATATAATTATCAAACTATTAAAAAAAAAAACCTCACAGGTTAAGAACCGTGATCTAGATAACAAGATTTTTTGCAAGCTGTTTGGAAAAAACTGGTCTCTAACATCATCTTGTGGGTGGTTCTTAGATATACTTTGAAGTGAAAAAATGGGATAAAATAATTTTTAAAAAAAGACCAGAAGGATTCCAACCAAAACTTTCTCCTTATGTTACAAAATAAGTATTGGAAATCTAAAAATTCGTGTTGATCCAAGAGTTTTATCTTTCCCATGGACTTGTAGTATAAAATCTAAACAGGGACTTTGCCTTTTCTGCCTAAAATTGTAATAAAAAAAAAAAGCAAAAGTGGATAGTGTTTTTAACAATCAACAGCAAAAATATGCTAAATGGCCACAAGATGGTGATGTTACTTTATGAGATCCTAGGAGTTATTTATCTAGTTGGTCCAGAATTTATTCTTTTCTATCAAAAAATTGATTCAGTGGCCCCCCAAAAGGCCTACTCTGTTGCTTCATTGTTGCACAAAAGAGACTCCTAGGTTATCGAGGCTCTAACAGACAAGTACAAAATCTGAAAGGGCTTAGCGAGCTATAGTGTCTTTGAGAATGAAGGCCCAGTGATGGACTGGTGTTCAGGTTGCTAAGTCAGGAGAAACTTACGATAAGGTTGTTGCTGTGTGATAAATTTGGGATGGGGGGAGAGATAGCAATCTTTGAAAGCTATGGAAGTTAAAAGCTACCAGCCAAAACGATGAAAAATTGAAGAGGCTTAATGCCTGAAAACAAAATGGTCCCATCCCCTTCTCCTTCCTTATAATAATGGAGAACAAATTAAAAAGTGACACACATGGAAAAGAATACAGAAAAGAAAGCTAAAGTCTGAAATGAGCTGAAGTTGTCAAAAACGTTAAAGATGACAGCAAAAAAGGCCCTTTAAAAAAAAAAACATCAATATTGTGGGGAAGAATTGAAGGAAGGAGGACTTAAGATCACTGAAGTAAATGGGGAGATGGGCCTCATCATCAGAAAAAAGGAGCCAGCCAACTTGCATTTTACTTCACTCAAAAAAAAAAAGAAAATGATCTTCAGAAGAGGAAGAATATAGAAAAAGTGATGAGAAGGGATTGAAATCCAAGAGAAGTAAGGAGATAGCAAATGGACAAATCGATACCCTAAATGAAATCAAGCCACCCATCCCTTCCAAATTATATCCCAGTGTTCTGGAGAGATTTTTGAATGTGTCTTTTGAATTTAATTAAGAAAACATTTACTAACTGGTAATTTCAATCATAGATATTGGGAGAGAAGTTGTGAGACTGGAGAGGAACAATTGTGCCCATTTCCATAATGAAAGAAAAAGTTCATCTTTCAAATTATAAACTAGAAAGCTTGATACAAGGTAAATTCTAAAATGGATTAATAAATGTACAGATTTTGAGCACTTAACAAAAGGCAGCAATGATTTCTAAAAGTCCACATGGGTTCAATAAGGAACAATGAATAAGCACATTTAAAAAACAGTATGGTATAGTCATGGAAAAGGTCTTTTGTAGGAGGTTTTGGGGGCAAGTCACTTGACTTCTGGGATTCCATGTGAAAAATGAAGGTGTTAAGGGCTGACCCCTTAGATCCCTTCCATTCTAACATACCATCCAATAAGTAATCATGCCAGTCAAATAAGTGAGGGACTGATGGAGCCAGGAAGTGACAAGCCCATGGTTTTCTCTAGAGTCACAGAACATCAGAGGTAGAAATGACCTTTAATAGGTTCTAAATCCAACTCCTTCATTTCATAGATGAGGAGAAAAGAAAAGGAGAATAACCTGGCAGCTAGAGGAGCACTATCCCTGTCCTACCAGTCACATAAAAGTGAAAATGCCTGTACTCTCATTGCCAGACACAATCCTAGAACTCTTCATTTTCATTTTTGCTTGTTCTCTATCATGTATATCCATCCCTGCCCTGCACATCCCTCTCATGAGTAGACAATGCTACACTGTGTTATGGGAAAGGTTTTACAGAGAGGTGACACTCTTGCCAAGACAGGAAGCTTATGGCTTCCAGGTGAACACAACAGCTGCTCTCCCCACTTCCCAAAAAGTCACAAGGTTGCACCAAAAACCCACTCCCCCACCATGAATCTCTAGAATTAAATATATGTCAATAGAACTGAGGTGCCTACATACACAAGGAAATTAGCCAAGACAATTAATTTAAATAAAAATGAAAAAGGAAGAATAAATACAAAAGGAATAAGTTAATTTCCATTACAAGCTGAAGTTGACAGTAATCATTATGTAAATAACTGAACAATAAACTAAATCATAGCAATGCTACATCACTCACTCATTCGTTCATTCATTCATCAAGCATCCCATTGCTAGTGCCTTCTCTCTGAGATTACCTTCTAATATATGATGTATATCTTTTATGTACATTGTTGTTTGCATTTTGTCTACCCATTAGAATGTGAGCTACTTGAGGTCAGGAACCACGTTTTTGCTTTTCTCTGTAATGCCAGCTCTTAATACAATGCCAAGCACATAGTAATACCTAACAAATGTTTACTGACTTAACAAATCAGCTGTGTGTCTAAAATTAACATCTCAGGTAAACCAGACTCATGAAAGAGATTTCTGAGAAAATGAAGACTAAAACTAATTAAATAAAGCATTTTTAAAATAGCCAGGCTTGAGATTCTCCTAGCAAGAGTCCCCAGCACCTAATCCCTGGCTTGTAAGATTGAAGTACCCCCAGTGGAAGCCACACTGTGCTGGAACTCCCCACTTGTTCTTTAAACTCTTCTGGTATACTTAAGATAGAATGTTAAGTGCTTTGAATTTTTGTTTGTGTGTTATGTATGTACATGTGTTCATGCTTTAATCAAGTTGCATGCAATCAAATGTGAGAATAAATTAGCACTGACAAAATGAGATACTCATAAAGCCTTTGCTAATCTTCAGGACCTATATAAACATCATTTTTATTAACAGGCTGAAAAGATATCAGAATTAGATATGTAGTTATGTTAACAAAAACAACTTTAACAATTTTTGCTTTAATGAATTGATTGCTTTCATGACAGCAAAGTTGGACAGTAGATAAGAATCCAGGAGTTAGAATAAGGAAGACCTGTGTTCAAATCCCACCTTAGGCATTTACTAGATGTGCAGCATTGGGCAAGTTACTTAACCTCTCTCAAACTAGGTTTTCTCATCTCTAAAATCAGGAAAATAGTATCACTTACAAAGTTGTAGTGAGGATCAAATGAGACAATATTTGTAAAACACCGAAAACCTTAAAAAAAATATAAATGCTAGGTAGGAGGAACAGGAGTATATCATAGAAACAAGAAGAGAAAGAAGAAGATAAGAGATGATTGTTATCCAATGGTTACTAAAATAAGTAACAACATACACAAATAGGTATCATACCTAAGGTTGATCTAGGCAGAAGATTATCAGTGAATTATAATATGGCAATACGTGTTACATGCATTACAAGTTATTTGTACTTCATGCAATGGCTTCCAAAGTGGCATGGCATAGTTACATATTAAAAGACAAGAATGTTTTCCCCAAAACATCTGCTTACAACTTACATTTAAATAGAGCTTTATAATTAACAAAGTGCCTTCCCTCATAACAAATGAATGAATGAATGAATGAATGAATGAATGAATGAATGAATGAATAAACTATTAGGTAATTTCTTTGGACATGGCCAATGAGGGAATTTGTTTTGTTTGACTATATGTGTCTGTAATAATGGTTTTTTTCTTGTTTCCTCCACAAGGTGGAGGGAAGAGAGGGGAAAGAGAGAAAATGTAGATCTTTATTAAAATAGATACATAGATAGATAGAAAAAAAAGCTAAGAGATAAGGAACATAAAAACTACAACTAGCTCTGCAGATGAAAAAGTGAATGTGCAGAAAGTTGAAGTAACTTTTGACTTTGCTCAAAGAACTAATGAGGGATGAAGCCAGGATTCTAAGCCAGGAACCAGGATTCTGTGGACTCCACATCCAAGATGCTCTTCACTACATCATGGTAACAATAAGGTCAATTGCCCCATGCATACAAAAAGTAAAATGAATTAATATATCTTTTGTTGAATATTCCTTCTCACTCTTTGGAATGCTACTAATGAGTACCTAAATATATTTAAATGGTAGCAGGAAAACCAAAGCACATATACTAAAATGCCAGCCCCTGAAAAATCAAATGTTAAACAGTCAAAAAACAATAATAATGAAAATAATGATAATAATAGCCTTAATACAGCACTTTATTGTTAGCAAAATCCTTTACAAATGTTAACTCATTTTATCCTCACAACATCCCTGGGAGATAGATACTAGTATTATGTCCATTTCATAGGTAAAGGAATCAAGGTCAAACAGAGCTTAAGTGACTTGCCCAGGGTCACACATGAATAAAACTGAAAATACCCAAATTCAGGCTGGGTCAGAGCTTGGTTGAACCAAGGGTTCAAAAGAATTATTCAACTTAAAGAAGCATGAAAGTTAGCACTCTCTCTTCAAAAAAAAAAAGCCAAAGGATATTTATTCAAATGTAAAGGAATATTTGAACTTGAAATTCCAAAAGTTCATTTGAAATTACAGCTTTTAGATAAAAGAAAACTGAGAGAAAGTATCTGAGCTGATAATAAAGATCCTAGCAAACACCTGAAAATGCTGAATGTTTCTTTTTCTCTATGTCCTATGCCTAGTAGTGCTGAAATGTTAGGAAAAAAAATCAGAAAAAACAATTCACTAAACACAAGCCCAAAATACAATGTAATAAAATCCACATTAGTCAAGGAAGAAAATTTACTTACTGTCCTGGTTACGTGACCAGATACATCAGAGTTGTTAGACTGTGAAATGAAAAAGAAAAATAATACAATCAATCCAACTACATTGTAATACTTATTCTTCAAGTTTTACAGTAGCTCTTCTCCCATACAAAAATAAAGAAAAGGAGATATCGTTTTTGTTACGAGGCAAAAGTGTATGAATTTGTGACATTTTCTTGGGTGTCAGTTTTCTCCACTACAATAGGAAGGCTTTGGATTAGAAGGTCTCTAAAGTTTCTGCTAGATGTAAAGTTCTATAAAGAAGAAATCATCAATTTGACTAATTTGATAAGATATTCCTTTCCACAGTGAACTCATGGCTGCAGCTTTAACAAACTGGAAGACCAATAGAATCACCAAGGACACAGAGAACAGCTAGTAGATAGGCGGAGTGTTGGATTTACACTCAAGAAGACCTGCCTTAGGCTGCTACTCAAGGTCTTTGGTGATATATGGCTTAACCTACTTTTTTTATGTCTACTCTGCTTACTTTCCATTAGCCCTTCTCAAACAAGGTATCCCAGGCTAGTCACCATTATGCAAACATGGCTACGCTGGCCTATCGTACCTTTGTTTATAATGATCCCTCCATTTTGCCTACCACATGCACACAAGTGTCCTTCTAGTCTGTCAAAACTCTCAATCCTATAAAACTGTACAAATCCTCTACAAACCAATCCCTGATTCCTCCAAATGGGAGCGACATTCTCCTATTTATTTTCTCACAACACTTTGTCCTTCCAACACATCTCATTTTGCTTTATGTAATATTTATTCATGTACATATATTATCTCCCCTACTATAATGTAAGTTCATCAAGGAAAGAGTCTACCTCTTTTTTTAAATTTATTTTTATTTTCTAAAGTGCCCAAATCAGTGACTTGGAATGCCAATTGCTCAATAAATCTATTTAATGCAATTATAATATTCCAAAAATCAAACACAAAAATATTAGGAGTTTTATGTTGATTTGAGCTCTAGTACCATATGGTATAAGGAAGTCAAAACCCATATTTTACTCACACAACCCCCCCAAAAAAAGAACAAAATGAAAATATTATCAGAGTGAGGGAAGGCTCATGCTTTAAATAAATCTCATGTTTTAAGTGCCTCACTATACTTAAAAGCTAAGCTTCTTTAGATAAACCAGCAGCCATTTTGTGAAGGTATAGGAAGCTGACTCTTGAGAAGTGAGGAGCCATGCAATGCCCAAAGCTAGGTGCTCAAATCACTTAAAAGAGCTTTTAGTGCTTGTTGTAGGACATGGAACAGATGAGGAATTAATCAAACAGATTAGCAGAGAAGCAGGTAGGATCCACACACAGATCAAATACACAAAGAATAAAGTCCTACCCTATAAATCCACAGCTTCTGTCAGGAGACCTCAGAGCACCAAATAAAATGTTGAGAAACTGAGTTTCTCAGAAAAGGAATGGATCTCTTTCAGAAGGAGCTCTTCACCAATATCGCTTTCTCTCTGGATTTAGCAAACACATGTCTCATCTTAGAACAGCACAGAAGCAGTAAAAGAAAGTTCAGCTCTGCATGGGTAAATGTGGAAAGCTTCCCAGGGTGACTGTGGCCAGTTTTAAGTGCAACACGAAGGTTGGGAACAAGTTTGAAACTCTATAAAGGTTAACACTCAAGTCTTTGCAGAAAATACAATGTTTGCCCAAGGCTAAGAGTACCAGCCTCTGCCAAGACTCTGGATTATGGAGATTAGGGCTCTGCTGATAGACTGACATGACCAGGAACTACAACGCCACAGTGTTCACAAGACTGTACATTTGAATACAAAGCCAATAGGACTTAATTAACACAAATGTAACATTCAATTTTTATAAAGTTGAACTGCGTGATGGCTAGGTTAGTGACACACCTCACTGACAAAGCTTTTTGTATTATCCTCAGAAAAGCTCCTTCTAATGAAAAGAAGGTAAAATGTACTTGTGGTATGTTCACTGTTCATTTGAGCAAGTAAAATACATAGACTTGCTTGATGACTTTCAGTTTGGACACATGTGCTGCATTCACACGGCCAAATCAGATAGCAGCCTGGATACCGGCCTCTTTTTTTCCCCATAGTGGCTTCTTCTAATCTATCATGACATTGAACATTAACTAGAGACAAAGTTGAATCTGAAATCTTTGGGGCATTTCTGAACATAGGAGTAAGGTAAAAGAGCATAATCTACACATGTATCTACCTGGAATAAAAGGGTTCTGCCCCCTTCCCCAGATCCCATGTAAATCTACTTGGAAGGTCTTTTTACAGATTAAAAAACCCTATAGAAACCCTATAGAAATGAAATGTCCAAGTGCATCATCTGATCACAATAAGCTACCCTGGCAAACAATCAAAAGAGCCCAATACTGTTGAATCAGAAATATTATTCTGACACCAAACAGGGTTCTAGACTACATACATAGGGTCAAATAGGGCCAAACAGGGCAGAGCTTTGAGTCTGGGGGCCAACAGAGGGCAGAAGCAGCCTTACTTGGAAGCTTAAAAACTGACAGTGGCCTGTCAAGACAGAGAAGAAGAGGGTCTATAAATGTTAGGTTCATGCAAAGGAGAGTTCAACACCAAGGGTAACAAGACTGAAGCACCAGATCAGTGAGACAGATGAAAATAAAGGCAAGGCATAAGTCAAATATTCCACGTAGACATACAGAAAGAAAACAGAGCACTTATTAAGCACTTATGTGCCAGGCACTAAAAAATGCCAAATCTCAAGAGTTGGATGTGACGTGAGAGGCTCCCTTATCCAACTCACTGATATCTGAAGAGTATATCCTTTATAATCTCCCTGACAAGTGAATATCCAATTTCCACTTGAAGACTTCTGGTAAGGGGGAACCTACTATTCTAAAGGCAAGCCATTTCACTTTTATACAACTCCAATAGTCAAGATTTTATACAACTCCAATAACCAAGAAAGGCTCTCTCTCTCTCTCTCTCTCTCTCTCTCTCTCTCTTTCTCTCTCTCGTTAAAATCTGCAACTTCTATTCATTGTCCTCTGGGACCAAGCAAAACAAAGCTTATCATTCTGACTCGAGGGTTTTTCAAATATTTGAAGACAGCTATCATGTAACCCTCTTTCACCTCCAACTTCTCCTGTTATCCAAGCTAAATATCTCTAGACTACAAGCTCCATGAACACAACAGCAGTCTTACTTGAATATTTTTTTATCTATCCAAGGAACACCTCACAGAGTTCACAAGGTCACAGAACTGTATCTGCAATTCTCTAGAAATTAGAAATTCTCTAGTACAGCTCACTCACTCATTTTATAGATTAGGAAACTGAATCCCCAAGAAATTAACTATTTGCCTAAGATGACATAAGGGGGTAAATATGAGTTTTGAACCTCTTTCTGACTGCAAATTAGGTCCACCATGATGACTCAGTTCTCTGCAAACAGGAGGCCATCATTTAACAAATGTGCACTAAAGTTGCATTGAATTTTGAATCTGAGGCTATTTTGACCAGGTATGACCAGGTAAGGACAAGTGAAGCTTAATTAAGGGTCAGAAACAAGTCCAGACAAACAGCCAAGTAAAGCAAGGAAACAAATTATACCCTGATTAGCTTTTTATGGGCCTGACATCTTTAGCCCAATAGTGTGGCGTGGTAACCATGATCCCCTTGGATTCTTAAAGGATTGCTGAGTTATTAGAAGCTTAGCTCTTCTCCTTTGTACCTGGGTAAAAGGTAAGCTCCCTGAAGGCACTGACTGTGGTTTTTTTTAAATGTTCGGATCTACAGTCCCACATTTAGAAATGTGCACATGGCAGCCAACCGATATTTATTAAAAGGAGTTATAACCTGACAATTGGTCAAACATACAACAAACACACATCCTGTTATGTATTAATAAACATCTGCAATGATTTCCTCCAAATTCCAATCTGGTTATTTAGTATCACTGTGATGTTTTTGGAAACAGGAAATTTAAATCACAAAATGTTTAAATTTTTTTTGTTGTTGTTGCTCTTCAGTCTCGTGTTTGACTCTGTGACCCCATTTGGGGTTTTCTTGGCCAAGACACTGGAGTGGTTTGTCATTTCCTTCTCCAGCTCATTTTAGAGATAAGGAACTAAGGCCAACAGGGTTAAGTGACTTGCCCAGGGTCACACAGCTAGGAAGTGTCTGAGGCCAGATTTGAACTCACAAAGATAAGTTTTCCCGACTTCAGGCATTCTATTCACCGTGCCACCTAGCTGCCAAATTTCTATTAATTCCTTGCACAAAGATAAGTCTTCTTGACTTCCTGACTTCAAGCATTCTATGTCTATATCCATCGTGCCACTTAGCTGCCAAATTTCTATTAATTTCTTACACAAAGATAAGTCTTCCTGACTTCAAGCATTCTATGTCTATATCCATTGTGCCACTTAGCAGCCAAATTTCTATTAATTTCTTGCCAAAAGTCAAATAGTAAGGCAGTGAAATAGGGGTGAGCAGGATAATTTATATCCCAGATTTTGCTTTTCTGTGTTAATTACAGAGGTCTAGAGTTGATCATCTAAGAATGAAAATAAAAATTCATTCAAATAATCAACTAGAGTACTCTGGTTATTTGTATAGTTTATAGGTACTTTGAAGTTAGTAAAATTAAGCAAAGTTCTATTGACACTTATTTCCCTGAAATTACTGGTTCCAAAGCATGTAATTAGAGTAGAGAGAGACCACAGGGAACAGAATAATTCTGCCATCATATACTACTAAGTAACACCACAGAAGGCTTATGTTTTCACTGGCCGAGGTCCTCCACCCAATAGCATGGGTATCAGTGTAAATCAAGAGTTCATTTAACTGTGGCACTCACATGAAAGACAAAAAATATATCAACTAAATCTGGGCTTTTGTATTCATAAGTCCATCATTAACCTGCACTAGCATAACTGAAAAATATCAGAAATATTATTGATGTAAAATAATTATTCATGAGACCAAAAAACCCCCCAAAATCCAGTTCTTTTTGGAGGGGGCACATGTTGGGGTGAGAGGATTA